GGACTCTGCTGGTCGCCCCCCCGCCCCCCCGGCTTTGCCAGCCCCTTTCCTGTTTCGGTTTAGTTGTTTTTCCTGGGAGTACAGCCAGGTCCTGTGACCCTGCAGTCGGTGTTCTTAGTTTATACCCAGTCAACGCTAAGAAAAGAGATGCTGTATGAGAAGTCACCGTTACGAAGTTTCTTAGCGCAAAAATCTTGTTAGTTGACCCCACGTGAGAAGAAAAAGGAAACTGGTAAACTTAGAAGAAAAGTTTATTTCTTGTAATAAAAATTATAAGGGTTAATCTGTTAAATCGGATATGCCACTTCAAATTTGGTTTAAAATGTTACTGCTTTGCTTTCTCCAGAGACAAGTTTATTGAAAAAATAGATTTAAACAACCAACGCTTGCCTATTTTCTTATAGTTCCTGTCTATTTGATAAAATCTCAGGACTTTTTAGTGCTAATCTAATTAGGCTCAAGCGTTTGCGCAGTCTGGAAATCTTTGAACAAGGCCCATCTTTGGTGGCATGTCTGAGCTTGCTGGCCAGCAGCCAGCGCAAGCAACACCGTTTGGCTGCTGTCCTTGTCTGGAGTTTTGTCAGCATGTTTTACCGCCACGTCATCCGTTTCTGCCGAGGCCGATCCTACCTGACGTTATGATAAGAGCAATAGAGGTCATTTACATCTAGACTAAATTCGCAGCGGCACTGACAACGCTGCACTAAGGCAAGCCCAGTAACGAATGAAACCGGACTGACAATTGTGGATCCTGCTGCAGCACACGTGCAAATAAATGAGCAGCATTTGCAGAGAACAGTAGCTTGTCATTGTCTTACATGAAGAGTTAATTATAATTGGGTTCAAACGGGGATCCGTTTTTTCAGAAATGGGTAAGTGTCGGTAAAAATCATCACTACACGTTGGTATATGATAATGGCATGAATTAACTCCAATTGAAAAGATTATATTCATATATTTAGCTTCTCATGCAGATAGGAAATTTTGTTTACAGTATTTACAACCAACTGGCAGCCTCCTGGCCTGCAGAAACGATCTCTAACAGGACAGCGGTGACAGCATTAGCCCTTATATGCAATATATGTCATTGTAGCATAATTTCCATGGCAGATGGAGTTAGCGTTCAGTTCTCTCTGATGCCAATGAGTACAGTTGTCCCCACGGCATAGGGGAATCAGGGATTAAGCAAAATGTCTCCAAGATATCTGCTTATCTTTCACCTTAGACTCCACAGTGCAGCACAGGATTTTCAGTTGTTAATTTGCTACATTAAAACTGGCAGATGCAGAAATTAATTGCTTGCAAGGAAATTATACTTACTTCCCAGTTGGTGAACTGATCTATTTCCCCTCCTACCCCCCCCCCATCTTATCTAACTTATTTACTTACCTCATAAGTAGTAAATATGATTGGAATATATGCATGAAAGCACCCTTCCAAGTCTGAAATGATAACGATTCCTCCCTGTGGAACTAGAACCTGAGAGTTCATCTGCTCTGGATAAACGGCTTCCAGGCTCATGGATTAGGGTTTTTTTTCTAGTGTGCTTTGGAAATTACAGCAATTTAAATGAAGGACGTGGAGTTTCAAAATCAATAACAGAAATCATAGAAATGTGGTACTAACCTGAGCCTCACAAGGTCATCTAATCCATTTTTATATCAGAGGAGGGGTCAGATATGCCTATGCTATTCTTCACAGCTATTTTTCTGAATTATTTTTAAACACCTTCTATGAAAGCCTTTTCTTAGGTAGCCATTCTGTCATTTATCTTACTGTATAATTAGGAAGTTTTTCTTGTTTGCATCAGGTTTTTATCTCCCCTGCTGTAGACTAGCCAAATACTTCTTGCCTAGTCTTTTTAGACAGAAAAGAATTGACCGTGTGCTCTTCATTGTATCCTTCTATTTAAAGATTGCTAGCCTGTCCGCCTTTCATCATTTACTTACTAGCTAAAGCAAAGCCAGTTCTTTCAAGCCTTCCTCATAGCTTATGTTTTGGAAGCATATCTTTTTTATCATTTTCTTCCGGACTGCCTTTCCCTCTTAAAATGCCATGTCTAAAATTAGGCACAGTATTGTATTCAAGCTGTGACTTAAGCACTGCTAAATAGAGCAGAATAATGGTCTCCTGTGAGGTCCACACAACACTCCTGTTAACACATTACAAAATTAAATTTGTCCTTTATTTTTTCCATCATCATGTTGATTTATGATCACTAGTGTGTGATTCACTGTAACTGTAGATCCCTTTCTGCAAAGTCCTATCATGTCTGGCTGTCTTTGGTAAGACTTTACAGACCACGTTTCTGTAAAGCCATTAGCAGGTTCTAAGATGTCCCTAGAGAAGGTATCCCTGTCTGACCAGGGCATCCACAAGTGTGGGAAAAGAAAGATCCATTAGCAGTTTGTAGTAAAGCTTTTTTTTTTTTTTTTTTAAACATAGTACAGGATTTTCTCTGAGATAGCTGTAACAGCAAAAGTTTCTCTCTCCTGCTTTCCTCCACAGACAACTCAGTTGCTGAACACTCTTGCTGTATTTTAATGACATACCTATACTTGGTTTTCTGTCAAACTATTTTGTAACCCTTTATTCCTATATTGCTATGCTACTGCAATGAATGCTATAAACATGTAGCTTGTAAACCAGTTAATGGTAAAACATCCGCTCGATATTCATCAGCGATCAAAAAGGCTAATACAGCATTAGGAATGACGAATAGCAGGCTTGTTGCCATTGTGATTGTCTGGAAATAACAACATAGTTTGTTTTGCTGTGTCTCTACCCTGACTATTGCAGAGAGTTCTGGTCATCCTATCACACAAGAATTTATGAACTAGAAAGGTACAGAGAGAAGCAACTAGGACAAACATGATATTTTACAAACACCCATAATAGGCGAGACCAAAGATCTAGCTAATGCAGTGCTTTCTAAGAGAGACCAATAGCAGAGGCCAAGAGAAGGCTATAAGAACAGTCTGTGCGTGCGCTTGTGCTATCCTCTCCCAGCCTCCACTGACTTATGATTAAAGTAGTACAGAAAACCTGCTATATGAGGAAGAGTTAAATAGATTGTTTAGCTTAGAAAGGAGACATCTGAACGGGGTTATGATAATACAAGTCGTAAATGGCATGGAAAAAAGTGCATGAGGAAAGGATATATGCTATTTTGTACACCAAGTTAGGAGACCGTCAATGAATTTTTCAGACATCTCCATTTAAAACAATCTATATTAATGCTTTTTTGTCTAACACATAAGTAAGCTGTACGATACAGTTTCCTTGCATAAAATTTACTTAAGCATAAGCCTACTTAAGTTAATAGGGAAACTTCTTTCTGAAGGTTGTTGTGGATGCCAACAGGATAACAAGATCAAAGAAATTAGACCTTTCCCCCCCATAACCTGTTTGGGTTGTCAAGTACAAACATGTGCACTGAGTTGTTCCTCAGGAAAACTGTAAGCCATAGCATGCTGGAAGGTGAGAGGGTCTTCTGTGCTGCCTTGTTCCTCTTCGCATTCACAGAGGAGCCCTGCCAAAGCAAGCTGGGCCCCAGATCTGACAGCGCAGCTATTTTTGGGATCCCCGTGTCTCAGCCTCTGTAATCTCTCTGGTCCTACCAGCCCGTGTGTTTTTTAAGGCCAGATTGCATACACACGCTGTGTAGGTCACAACTGGAGGAGGTGATCTGTACTCCCCACATAGCTGTGTACAATTATCTATCAGCTACTCCAGCTCCTAATAGTGGGTCAGCTCTGCCTTTGCCGTGGGCTTCGAATAAGGAAGAAACTGTAACTTGGCTCTGTCTGAAGCAGAGCTGGGGTAAAATATGATACTGAGAATTAGCATCTATTCCTTGAATTTTACCATGCCTTGGTGTTGATTTTATGGATGTGACCAATAAATGTTGCTTTGCTTTTTAGGTTGGCATGGCTTTGCTGGGAGGGAGAAGGCACCCTGCAGGCTGCTCAAGAAACGGTAAGTAAAAGGATCCTATAACAATCCTCTTTGCTCTTTTACTCATCCTGGGATGATCTCCAGCTATACTCCTTAACAAAAAATAAAATAAAATAAATACCACACACACACCACACACACACCACACACACACCACACACACACCACACAAACTGTCTTCCTTTTGATAATGGTGATGAACCCTAATATGAAAGGCCCTGTCAAAAGCATATGGGCCCCATGCATTGAGATATGTAGTGCTATGCAGTATCAGTAAAATCATAATCTGACCCCTGCCATTAGCCTTATGTTACAGAGCCATGACAGGTTTGGGGTGCACCTTGGCATTTCTTTTTTTCCCCTCTTGTCCACTAATACGCTGGGCATTTGCTTTACATAGGTTGTATAAGCTCTTACACCTGGAGATGAAGTTGTTTATATTGTGGATTGGCAGCACAAACTTAGCAACCAGGTTACAGGTGCTAAGCTCGCAGCTACTTAGAAGAGCATACTATCAACAGAGGGCCAGCCTTAGTGACCCTTCCAGGGAGAGGCTAGCAACCATTGTGAACAGACAAAGATTCATGCTGAGCTAACCTGCTGTGACCATTGCAACCTGCAGCACAAAAATGCAGTGAGAGACATGGCAAAAAAAAGCTGTGCCTACAACGTTGTATTTGGACATCTGGCATTCCCTTTTTTCACCTTGGAGTGAAACCGAAGCTTTTATTTTCTTCCCTCATTTCCTCACAATCTTGTATTTTTTCCTAATGGAATGTTGCTTCTGTAAAGATCTTGGAGGAGGAAAAAAAGAGACCACTGAAAACCTATCTGCCTTTGCTTAGCAGCTTAATCCACTTTTAGCCTGCCTACTGTTGTGGGAGGTTAATACAATGACAGATCCTTCCATGGTGGATCACATGACCCGACTGAAACTTAAACTCCTAGAAAAGGTAAGGTAGTAAACTCTTCAGTGGTCTACTTTGCTCTGGTTTTTGCTGATAATGTTTAAGCATTAAAGTTGTAATTTAAGTAATCATATTTCTACTAAGATACAAAGAGGATCTGCATCCAACTGAGAACCTTTTCTGCAAGCAGAGGCAGACCAACATGAATTAGTGCTATAATCATTGCTACTTTCAAAAAAATAATGTTGTGCCAGTCTACATGAACCTCAAATAGATTAAAAGTACAGATAGAGGAACGCTGATCTCTTGGGAGATGTCACCAGTTAATTAGAGACCAGTCTGAGTAGTCACAGGGAAAGGTTAGGAGTGAGTGATGGTGAAGGGAGACCCTCAGGTTGTTTTTAAGCCAGTTTCATGTCTTCATTATTGTCTACTTCTACAGAGGGTGTACTGCCTGGTGAAACTTAGCTCGACCCTTACTGAAAGCACATGAAGAGCAGTGCAGTATATTAGTAGCTCTTTGTTGTGACTCTACACAAATATACCCAGGATTCTCTACTTGGCCCCATTCTTCCATCCTGGCATGCCATTCCAGTGGCATGCATCTTCTGTATCAGTGTCTTCCAGGAACTGCTTGAAGAGTTATCAGGAAAGAAAAACAGTGTACCTGGAGAGATGAATGCTAGAATCAGCATCTAACCTTTCTGTGAGGGAATACTTTTTGCCTTAGAGGCAGCAGCCACTTGAGGGGAAAGCTTTTTGCTAGTTTGGAGCTATGCAGAACCTAGGAGCAAAGAAAGAGCCTGTGCACGAATGAAAGGTCTCCGCTCTAATTTTTAAGTGTCAGAGAGCAGCAAGGGCTAGCTGCTCCATCAAGGAGAAGAAGCTGAGCACAATAACAGAGCCAGCAGGGCAGGGCAGCGATGGCTGGGCAGGTCCACAGTGACAAGGCAGGTCTACAGTCAAGGTGGGAACTCAGTCCACAGGTCAGGACCTAGGTCAACAGGATTCACAGCCAGGCACAGCTGCGGCTGAGCTAGAAATCACTGATCCTCTTACATAACTCAGGTAGGGAGTGAAAGCCCAGGGCTGAGCTTAAATGGTCTCTGAACCCACAGACAGAGGGAATTGAGTGGGGGCTCCAACTGAGGCTGGTCAGGGCTATTAAGGCCTACTACAGTACTTATGGCCCTCACACTGAGTATCTAAGGCTATCTGCCATTGGAATTAATTTTTTTATATGATCTAGCTATCTGCCTAAAAAATAACTGGTGTTTGTAAGTCCCTGATTCCCTCTGCAAGCAATATCCAGGTATGGGATAACCTGGCCAATTGGAAGCATAGACTATTCTTATACTATGGCTAGATTTGTAATGAGACATTTCATACTTCTATGAAAACTACTCATAGCCCTCGCTAGCTGTGATTTAGGACTTAAGAAGTGTCCCTTATCTCCACCTCTGTTTTGTTTCCTCCATCCTCCACCTCTGTCTGTAATGTAGGATTGGAAATAGCTGTGAACTATGCTGCCTTATCTGTAATCAGTTCTCATGGTGGTTTTACCTACAGAGACTAGAAAATGAACATGCGAACCTAGAGAGAATGGATTCACCTCCGCCAACAGCAAGTAAGTGAGAAGCATTCATTCTAATTACGGGATATGACGTAGAAAGGGCTTAGGGATGTTCTCAGGCACGAGTTCTTCAGTAGATCACACCAGAAGATAAAATCTCCTCCTTAGAAGCTACATGGGGCCTTTGCCCCTGCATGCACTGCGGTGAGGCATTTGGTTAGTCAGAACTTGCTCTGTCTTTGCTTCTGTGACAGGGGTATTATCTGTATGACAGGAAGGAGACTGAACTTGAGTCAGTGCTGCCTGAGCTCAGTCTGGGTATCTAAATCTGCATGCAGCCTAGAGGACAGAAGTTGCATATGCAAGTTCCAATGAAGAGCTGCACAGAAATGTTAATATACGTGCTATTCTCAGTCCTAAGGAAGCTGGCAAATCTTAGGGGCCCTGATGCAAGGAGAATAGGTTTGCTATGCTGTGCAGCTATCTGGATTTTACTTTTTGAATTTCCACAGTTTTTTCTCTCTTGTTCATGCGTATTTGAAAATGACAAAGGCGAATGATCAACCAACCAAGTACAATGGCAGAACAAAGACTGCCCTCTGCCCAGGTGTCCTTTGGAGTCTCTCAGTTGTGGATGATGGTTAAATTGGAGCAAACTACTGGTTTATTTCAGCTGTACTAGCTTCTATACCTGGGAATAAGCCCCTCTCTCCAGCTGTGTGCTTGGCATAGGTGATTCTGTATGTTCTTGAAAAGGAGCTGTTTTGATGGCTCTGCCTCTCAGAGGAATCCAAGCGAGAGGAAAAGCCTATTATTAATGCTGCTTTGCACCTTTGAGTCTGAACAATGCAACCTTGTGCAGACCAGAATGAGATTTTCACTTTAAAAAAATGTGGCTCAAATTGTTTATGAGCTAGATTATTACACTGAAGGAGTTAATATTCCAAACTGTGTTGATAATTGCTGGGAAATCAATGTACGTTTTACCAGGAACCTTAAAATACTTAAAATTACTGGAAAACTAAGGCACTGCACACTTGGTATTGTACTTTCATGTAAGTATTGTTGAACGGAACTTGCTATTAGTAAGTGAAACATCATAGCAGTCTCTGAAAGAATTTGATAAAGACAGAGGTTGTCCTAAACTCCCTTATTTATCAACTTTAGCTGTTTCACTAGCTTTTATAGAGAAATATCTAAACTTTGGGAATTTTATAAACATGCCAAGATTCCTGCCCTCTTTTCCTGACCAAGCTTAGGAACTAAGTACACATACAGTGTTTATAATTGTATTAGCTACAAGTTAGAAACTAATCAATAATGTTTCTAAATTGTACTCTGGGCTCGAGTTCATTGAGCCGATGTACAAATTGTTGGAAACTTCCAATGCTCTGGCCAAAACTCAAAAGTCATTTTAATGACTTTCCATTTCAAAATACCGAGTCACGCTTTTCAGAACAAATAACCAGGAATACCTCCAACATATCTGAAAACATTTTTTTTATTTTAATTTCAAAGTCAGCTATATGTGGGAGAAAATGAAAAGGAGGCTGTTTCAGAACTAGAAGGTAACAGAAAAGCTGACATTCAAAACTGAAGTTATTTTGATACGTCATGACAAACTTTCTTTAGACTTTGCACATCATCCTCTTTGTATATAGACTGTATCTAGAAAATTTCAGGCTAAAATGAATTTTTAAGCCAGAAGGTTAAAAGGAGTCTTTATAGAGCAATCCAAAAGGTTTATTTTCACAGAAGATGCATTGCCTTTGTAGAGTTGCTGAACAGCTATGTCTACATGTGCCTAAAGTCATTGCCCATTCATGGATTTGACAAGAAAAATAGCCTAAAGCTGTTTCTGGAAGAAATCAAGATATTCTATAATACCATGTTTTCCACAATTAATCTCAATGTAGGTGTTATAATAGCTCTGTCTTTGTGATCTTTTAAGAAGATAATGGACCTCCTTTTCCTTTTTCAGGGACTAGACATGAAGATATGCTTCTAAATGCCCTAAGACGAAGGAATGATCTCCTGCAGCAGCTTAGGGTAAGAGCTTTCTGCGTTGCCAGGAGGCTATATGGGCAGTGCAGTTTAATGTGATGAACACAGTAGTAGGCTTTGAAGGATAAAATTAATTGTTATCCCAAACAAGCAACAAAGAGTAGAGGAAAACTGTGATCACTGCCACTGTGATCAGTGGTGCAGAGTCTAGTTGGAGAGTTGTAGCTACCGGTGTCCCCCCGGGGTCACCGCTGGGTCTAGTATTGTTTAACTTATTCATCAGTGACTTGGTTGAAGGAATAGAGTGCCTCCTCAGCAAGTTTGCTGATGATACAAAACTGGGGGGAGTGGCTGATACCCTAGAGGGCTGTGCTGCCATTCAGGACCTCAACAGGCTGGAGAGATGGGCAGAGAGGAACCTCATAAAATTCAACAAAGGGAAGTGCAGGATCCTGCACCAGGGGAGGAATAACCCCATGCACCAGTACAGGCTGGGGGCTGACCTGCTGGAAGGGAGCTCTGCAGAGAAGGACCTGGGTGTCCTGGTGGACAACAAGTTGACCGTGAGCCAGCAGTGTGCCCTAGTGGCCAAGAAGGCCAAGGGGATCCTGGGGTGCATTAGGCAGAGTGTTGCCAGCCGGTCGAGGGAGGTGATCCTGCCCCTCTACTCAGCCCTGGGGAGGCCCCACCTGGAGTGAGGAAAGGCTGAGAGAGCTGGGCCTGTTCAGCCTGGAGAAGAGAAGACTTGAGGAGGGGATCACATCAATGTATACAAATATCTAAAGGGAGGGTGTCGAGAGGATGGGGCCAGACTCTTCTCCGTGGTGCTCAGTGGCAGGACAAGAGGCAAAGGGCACAAACCAAAACACAGGAAGTTCCATCTAAATATGAGAAAAAAACCTCTTTGCTGTGAGGGTGACAGAGCACTGGCACAGGTTGCCCAGAGAGGTGGTGGAGTCTCCTTCCCTGGAGATACTCAAAAACCGTCTGGACGCGATCCTGGGCAACGTGCTCTAGAGGAGCCTGCTTGAGCAGGGGCGTTGGACTAGATGATGTGCAGAGGTCCCTTCCAACCTCGGCCATTCTGTGATTCTGTGAAAACTTCCCTCTGTTTAGAAGGAGAAATGAACTGCAGCAAATGACCAGACTTTGGGAGGACTTAATTATCCTATCATGCCCTGCAAACCTCATCTTGAGAAATAAGTAGTAATGTTGCCTTCCCTCTCCCCCATGCAAATCTGCATAGTTCTTGGAGATAGTTCCTTAAAATAAGGAGAAGGATTCCTCTACAGTGGCTGGGGAACTGCTGTGCAACTGCTGGTGCTGCCTGCTGTTCCTGTGTGGGAACGTAGGGAAGGGAAAGACCTCTATGGACAGAAACAACAGAAGAGGCCAAATTAATACTGAAAAAGGGAATTCCACAAAGTCCGCATATCCACTATCCATGTGGATTCGGTTCTTTTCTGTTCTTTAATTCTTTGGCTGTGCAGTACTCATCCTCTGGTCTACTGGACTGCATACACTGGGCTTGGGTAATCAGGGGGAAGAGCTGAGGAGTGGTATGTTTTTCCTTACTATAGTTAACAAGGCTTGCACTGACCTCAATATGTTTGTATATTGATTCTGCTTATCCTGAACTGCTGTATCATAAACTCTTGGTGTAGTGCCAAAATGCAAATAAGGGATTTTAATGCTGCCAAAATATGGACAATAACAACTGTTACCTATTCCAAGTTTGTGGGGGGTGAGCAACCATTAATGAAATATTTTCCCAGACTTTCAATTGGTTCTTATCCACTTTTTTTTTAATCCCTTTGGCTTACACTGAAAATCATATGTCCTAGGGACATGTGGGGAAAAAACCACTTTCTTTATACTTGTTCCAGCTCTGAGTGAGTGTTTCTCTACATGCGGAAGTCACTTGTGTTCTGACTGGTAGATACAGCAGCGATGGGAGTTTCTGTAGCAATGTTTTGGTGAGAGAGACTGCGCTCCTCTACGGGGTCGCAAGGGCTAATCCCGTCTAGTCTAATGAGTGTAACTACATTGTGTTCCTTCCTATGACGAGATTTTCTTTATGAAGATACTTGATCTTGCAGGAGCATCACCTTTTGGAAGAACTGTCACAGCCACCTGTGGCAGCTGGAGGAGGATACTGTAAGAACTACAGAGCTGATCCTCAGCAGTTGATCTACCAGCTGCCTTTTCCAGCTCCCCGAGCGGAGCCACCAAGGATCATCCAGCAGACTGTAAGGATCCTCCATCCTCATTCCTAGGAAATACTTACTAGCCCTGTGCCTGTCAGATACAACTACAGCAAACAGAGGGACTTGAGGTCTGTATGGAAGCGCTCATCCCACCAGGGGGAAGATATGCTCCTTGCTGTTGTGTGGGACTCTTACTCCTCTAGGCGAAATCTAAAGGAAATCCTCTTCTGCTTTAGAAACAAGGCACAAACTTAACAGAGTGAATGGTTAACTATTGGAACAAGTTACCAAGAGGAGTGGGAGCGTTGTCTACCTTTTAAGGTTATCAGGGCTAGGAATGATTTTTGGGAAGACGGGCTTCAATCAGATGCAAGCTATCAGGCTCCAGGCAGGGAAGTAGCTGGCATTCTCTGATTGGTTTCATATAGTAAGTTAGAGTAGATGATTTAACGATCCCATTCAGCCTTAAAAAGTATATGAGACTCATCAACTGACAAAAGACAGGTGATAAGGCTTTGAGAATGGTCATGGTGCTTGACAGCCTTATCGTGGATAAGTAATTTGTTTGAAGATGGAAAACTGAGGATAGGAGTTATAGTCAGTTCTGGCAGCAGAGGGAGGTCTTCGGTGGAGCCCTGCAAGGCTCTGTGCTGTCCAGACGTGCTGCGAGTGGCTTGGAAAAGAGGGTGAGCAGTTTATTGAATAACGTTTGCTGCTGGTGTTAAGTTAGTCAAAGTAGTAAGGGGGTAACCCTTCTGTGGAAAGATCTTATAAGCTTAAGTGAGTGACTGGGAAAAAGGTAGCAGGTGATATCCAGTGTATATAAGTATAAAGTGATGCATAGGAGCAAAAGTTAAGCCAGCTTCACTTACAAAATGATGGGCTCTAAGCTGATCATAACCACTGAAAAGCCTAAGATCTGGAATTCCATTAAAATATCACCTCGGTTCCCAGTAATGTTCAAAAAAAGCAAATCAAGTATTAGGAATTGTCTCAGGGGGAAGGGGAATGGGAATGTCATTATGCTACTATATGTAGTTCCAGACCCTCTTTCCAAATCACTCCTTATGAATCACTCCTGTTTGAAGGTTTCCATTTACTGTCTGCAGGGATAGATGTTGGGATTTAGTTGTTTGTATGTATTGCTGTGTCTCAGAATTTCCTTTTGAGACTTCTCTTTACATAATTCTAAGAGGCTCTAAGACAACAAAATGCTTAATTAGATTTGTAATTCAGTAGTTAAAGAAGAGAAAGCATTGTGCATTTTGGACGGTATGATACAGGCTGTATCACTGCATCGTTGGCACTGATGTGTTTGGGCAGCAGTAACTGCAATAACTTTCTATCTTTAAACAAATTATTTATCCAAGCTAGGACTGCCAAGCATCATCACCATTTTCAAAACCTGATCGCTAGTCTTTCTTCAGTTGATGAGTCTCATAGGTTTTTTTTGTTTGTTTGTTTGTTTTGAGGCAGAGAAGGACTGTTCTCTAATTAAATAGAAATGTTATCCCAGCTCTATTAGCATATAGTTTGAAGGCTTCTCGATCCTGACTGCAGCTCACAGTATACTTCTTGCCAGGGACTGCTAACCATCACTGAGACTCACTCAGAAAAGTGTAGTTTGCTAGCTCCAGGTTTGCTGGGGCAGTCCACAAGTATGTTCTTCCTTATGGCAGCACACTGTAACATGACACAACATTTGCTGCCAAAGACACCAGGAGAACAGTTAAAACTATAGGCTTTCCCACAGAAATTCAGGACAGGTTGTATGTCTCGCACTTTGAGATCTGAGCAAGGCAATAGAGAGCATGCCATTTGAACAGTGCTTATGTCTTTTTCCAGTTGCAAAACAAACACTATCACAGAGAACTTATTGAAAAAGGATGCACCTTGATAGTGCCACAGAGGACAGCGTAACAGCAAATTCATGTCATAAGGATACTTAACTACATCCCAGCAGCGTTAAGGGTCTCCCAGGACAATTCAGCCAGTTGTAGCCAGTTTGGAGGGAGTCTGCTGGGAACAGGCTGTAAGTCAGAAGACTACCGGTGCTGGCAACAGCATATCCTCTACAGACCTCTCTCTGCCTGTGTGATAGTAATATATCTGATGCTACTCCTATGGCATCAAAGGATGTGCTTAAGCCCCACATCCTGCTTCTTCCTTCCCTCCCATGAAAAGCAGCAGTCAGGACCTGCCTACTGCCAGCACAACTCATCCATTTTTGAGTCCATTCGGTGCCGAGGTGAAGCAGTGACTGAGAAAGAGCTAGTTACAGCCTGCTGCTTGCAGCAGCCAGACTATCCCCTTCTTCCCTGTGGTTAACCTGATACATATCTGTTCTGCGTACTGCCCTGCCTAAAGCAGATCTCCCTTGTTTAGAGCTAATCTGGGTAATTCTGGTAGGTGTTGTGAAAGAGTTTTATGTAGGATGTTAGGGGAGAGGTGGCTCTCACATGTTTGATGTGATCATGACAGCAATGCCAGAAACTTGCTTTTGCTAGAAAACAGGTACCTCTGGGTTCTCAGGTGTATGAGTAGGTTAGAAGATGCTATTTTATCACTTTTCAACTTAAGGATATAAATTCTGTCTGAATCACGTGCTTATCCTCTGATAGCTATGACTGAGGGTAGGTACAAGTTACCGTGGGATAACAAGTTAGAAATAGCGGTCACTCTGCAGTGACTGCTTATGTGCAAGATAACTTGAGTGGCATCTGCCTAAAGAAGAGCCTACAGCTTGCATGTGAGACTTAAAAGGGAGGAGCCGATGAGCTAGTTTACATACTAGTTCTTCCAACAGAAATTTGCTCCTTGCCATGACCCTAACTCTGATTCATCACACAGTGAGGTTTTTCCTATTTCCAATGCAACTTGTCTTTTAAAGAAGCTGATTAAAAGGGAAAAAATAAGAGAGGGGGCTGTATCTACCCTTTGTATTTCACTGTGTTCTGTGCCAGAGTGAACGTTCATGCAACGTGGCTACGTGTGCTGTGGTTTGCATCAGTGTGGTTTAGTTGTTCTAGAGATCTGAACAGTGCAGCTGCTGGAGTGCTCCCCAGATCGGTGTCTCAGAACACGCACAAAAAAATTTCCACGCTCATTTCCTAACACAGGAGAGCAAAGCTGAGTGTGGTTACCTTCCAGCTACTATTTGGACATCGAGCTTGTCTTACTTCATGTATAGCTTGGGGTCAGCTGCTGTCAATGTGAAACAGGTCCCAGAGGTGACAAATAGGTCAAGATGAGGGATCCAGAGATGAGGGATCCAGAGATGAGGGATCTGCTGGGCAAGAACAACCTTGACTTTCTCCGCTTTCCTTTCTTTCTCAGATGCCTCCGCAACCTGCTACTATCATCCAACAGTTACCTCAGCAGCCCCCACTGATAACACAGATTCCCCCTGCCCAGCCTTTTGCAGCCCCTCACTCTGGAAGCATTAAAGAAGGTAATGTTTTCTCAGTCTAGCAGCCAGTTCCCATTGCTGATGTCCTAAGAAGGCAGGAAAGGTATCACTGTAAGGGGAAGAATGCATGGGACAGCATCTAAGTTACTCAGTGATGTTTTGTTTCACAGTCAGGCTGCTGTTGGAGCTAGGGGAGTTGCACTTCATAGAACTAGACACCATTTCTCAGAGGCCTTCAGACAAACCCTTTTTGCTAAAACTAAAGAAAAGAGAGTATATGCTCAGCAAAGCAAAGTTTAGCTGTAGAGGAAGCTTGGGGAATTAAAACAGCTCAATCCAAAACGCTGAGTAATATTAACAAGAACATTTGCAGGTAAAACTTATGCAAACAGAGAGTTCCAAAATTAACAAACAGGCTTCTAAAAATATGTTTTATTCTTTTATTTCCTTTTAATCTGCTGTCCACTCTCCTTTGAAAAATATAGGCTTTTATTAAGTAAGTGAATGCCCTGTGTTTGGAAACAAGATAGAACAGCTGAAAGTACTGTTCCGAATGTAGTACCATGCCACTAGAAAACAGTTTCGTGTTTCTAAGCATAGGTGGATGCCACTGTGAAATAAAACATGAACGACAAACTGGGATGACTTTCCTGGCTCAGCTGTCAGCCAAAGGTTTCTTCATGCTACAAAAAAGTCTCCAGTCACTGAATTGCAGTATTTTTTCACGATTTCATCGCTTAGGTCTCTGGATTTATTTGAATTAGAGTTTATTTTCGTAAACAGACTAGTCCCAATTCATGCAAGAATCTTCTGAAGTTGATACATTTAAAGTAATTGCAATATGACCAGTTAATTAAAAAGGAGATTTGCTTTGATTGTTTTCATCTCATAGTTAAATTAGTTCTACTGCGTAGGTCCTTCATGATCAGGGCCCAGACGTGGAGAGTGGTTCTCTTCTCAAATACACATGGAGTGGACTTTCAAGGTGGCACTACTATACATGATAATGTATAGTTGAGGAAACCTCCTATGTGAAGAGCGATGACCTTGAGCCAAAGCCATGGAAAACACCATAAGGGCTAAGTCCCTGCTGGACCGAGCTCCAAAGCACAACCTTTCTCCACCCTGTCAGTGAGCGTAGCCAGGGGGGTGGGTTTGCAGTGAAACTAGCAGACAAAAGATGCTCAACAACAGCTTCACTGTAAAAGGGAGGAGAAAAAGGAGAGCTGGCCTGTGCGATCTGATTCATAGACAACCGTTTTGCGCTGTCTGGCCAAATAATGCTAATATTCTTCTGAGAGTCCCTTTCAGCAGCTTTATCTCAGTGGCAGTGACCAGTCTGTCTGCTGCTCTTTCTTTCTTCTTTGGATGACTTCTTCCCAGATATGGTAGAGATGATGTTAATGCAGAACGCTCAGATGCATCAGATCATCATGCAGAACATGATGCTGAAAGCTCTGCCACCAATGGCATTTGCACAGCCTGCAGGACCCAGCTCTCTGGCTGCACAGCAGGTAAAGCATGCACAGCAGGTAAAGTCGCAGGAGTTGAGAAGCATCCTTGTTCACACAAAGCAGTGGCTGATCTCCTTGGGAATGTGTGGGGACTGGATAACACCAACAGAAAGTCTGGAACATCCAACAGCTGTGTGCATCTTTAAATCCATCGCACCAAAAGGCTGTCATTGAGCAGAGGACATCCCGGCTGTTTTTGGCTGCATTGTATACAGTAGATGTTGCTTCATTTTGAGGTGTGCTGCATAGCTGAACCAGCCCAGCTCAGGTGTCTGAAATTTTCTTCACAGGGAGAAGAGTTGCTTCAGTGCTGCTTCTCAGTAGTACCTGTGGCACATACTCTCTCCCAGCCAGAAAGGGCCAGTTCTGCTGCTCAGTACCATGGTATTGCCTGGCTCTGGTATCCTGCAGTTCTCTCATGCAGTTCTGTTTAACACTTTATGGAGATCTGGCAGAAGAATGCCTTATGCAAAAGTGCAAACTGGATTCGGTCCAGCTCTGGAAACTTTTGTCCTCTACAGTTGAACCACTAACAGACTATGTGTGGAGGAGATTTATACTGGGCATCTGCTGCTGCATATGGAGCCTTAGGATTCTAACACTTGCAGGTTTTCACTGAAACAACATCTGGTATGCTGGGGCTCTGATCCTTGTTGGTGTCTCCAGGCACTACCCGAACACCAGTGATTCACCTCTAGTCAGGATGTAGCAGCAGGGGTTGGTGTCTGCAGGTGCAAGTCCACTTGCTGCAAACAGCAGGGCAATATTTGTGTTACAGATTGCATCATTTGTAAAATTTGACCTGGCAGTCTAAAATGAGCTAGAGCTGAAACATGGATATTGTGATCACACTTGGAGCCTTACTGCACTAGTTATTGTCTCAATGAAAATCAATGGGTACAATGCTCCAAAAGGACAGATTTTAAAGATATTTAGGTGTGTAGGTCTCCATAGAGATTTTCCAAAACATCAGTGTCTAGTGACTAATAAGAGGTAGATAATTTTGAACACATCCTTAAGGTACCCAATTCCTAAGCTATTTTTAACAATGTGATATAGATCCTTAGCCTTCTTAAGTGCTTTGGAAAAATGTATTTCTAGTCTCTACTCTTCAGAGTTTATTATCTAAGAAGCAAGGACAGTTAATCTTTGGGGAGAAGGGGATGTCTCTTGTATTGCAAAGACCTCCCTTAATACTTTTTCACCCCCTCTATCTTCAGGTTCACTATGACTTTCGCCTGTGAAGGTTTCTGTTTTCTTTTTCTTGGATATTAAGACTGTCAGGTGTTAAGAAAGTAACTCCCATCCTTCTGCAGTAGTTGACCGGTTCACTAACACCTTTCCTCCATGCTATTTGCAAAAGTAACAAATGGCTTAAAAAACCAAAAGCCTTTTGTTTAACTGGTGGGGGTAGGAAATACAATACTCCTTGACACCCCATCATCTTAGCCTGGAGGGAACTGACATTTTTTGCACCTGTTGAGACCGAATGTCTACTTTAGACAGAAAGCATTTGACAGCAGCTGCTGGCTCTCATGTTTCAGGGCACTGAAATCTCAGAAGCTCGTATCCGTCACAGCCAGCAGGCCACCGGTGACACAGACAGGATAATTTATTTCCTCACCGACTGCTCCAAGATAGATTTGTCGTGGAGATGGCAGGAGGTGCAGGCATTGCCACGTGCCAGAGCTGTGCTGAGTGTTATCTCAGACAAAGGAAGCACCTACTTTTTGGGTTACAGTTTATTCATATTGAAAAAATAGCCATAACATGCTTCTTGAAAGAAGCAGCCACACTATTCTAATATCCTATTTTCCTAGGAATAGGCTCTTATGACTTCCACTGTTCCCTCAGACTATTAGTCCTTTCCTTCCCTCCCCCCTCTTAAACTTTGCTATCCCTTGTTTGCTTCTTAAAATATTCTTTCTCTGAGTAGTGAGACAGTAAGGCCTTATGTGATGTTTCACCTAACCCTGATTATGCCTCACCTTGGGGGAGATTTCTGAGGGAGACTAATTCTGGGTGAGCAAGCAGACTAATACCAGGCTTTCTTTGAAGCAGTCTGCTTCTAAGGGAAAATAGCAAAGGAAGAGAACGCATCTCTTAGTCCTCACCTCTGTTTCCAGGGTCATTTTGTTCCCAAGGGTTTGCCTTGTGTAGAAGAGTGGGATAAACTGTTTTGAGTGGGGCGTGAACGTCTCTGAATATCTAGGTGAAATTTGGAACCACCAGGCATTTGCTGGACCTGTTATGTTTGAGCCTGTGAAACTGATCTCTGGCCACAAGAGGAAGAACTCCCTTCACTAAGAGAAGGCTGAGTGGAAACTCAGCTGCTCAGCCAGAGTTGCTGGCACGCTCTCGTTGTGGCAGTACAAATATAACAAATTGCCATTTGTCTCTCTCCAACAAGGATTTGCAGCTTGCTGCTCCCATGGTTGTGAAAGCAGAAAGGCCCAGGCCATCCACAGTGCACCACCATCATCACTACTCTCCCCCAGGGGTGCTACCCCCCGTTGGCTACTCTGTGTGGCCTCCAGCACTACAGTCTGGTCTCATGGGACAGAATGGTGGATTCCCATCCATGGTGCATCATTTACCTGGAAGCATGCTCCCCGTGGTGCATACGTAAGTAAATGGGCTGGCACAGCATTGATCTGTTTTAACCCTACCTCCCACAGATGTGAGGTAATAAGGTAGAACAGAAAATCTCATGCCCTAAAGTTGCTCTGGCTCTTCACTAAGGCCAGCCCAGAATGTTATCTTTAACATAGAAATAGGATTAAGAGGCTTCAACAAAGATCTGTCTTGCAAACTAAATCTTATGGAATAACTTTGCTAAGTAACCCTTACTTATTATGGAACGAACATGAGAATCAAACAACGTCTACAGATGCTGCCAGGTGAGAAATAACAGTCTTACTCCCATGTCCAGCCTGCAGGTGGCAGAGCCATAGCTTAACAGTGCTGGGTGGCTCCAGTCTGCAATGGCTGTTCCCCTAGGTTTTGGGTATCCATGAGAATCCCACAGAGACATGCTAAATGAGAGCTGACTGTGAGCTACATTCAGGGTAACATTTCTGGTAGTATTTATGTACTTAAAATACTGTGGAGGCATTTGCTAATCAAAAGTTCCAAAAAAGACTGTCACTAAGAAAATCTGTATAAAGGGAGGGAAGAATATAAATAAAGTTGAGCCTTTGGGACAAGCTTGTACTTGCAACTGGGGTGTTTTTTTCAAGGGCAGAAATGGATGGACTTCTCCCCAGGCTGCCCCCAGGTCTGTAGAGTCCTCAAGCCCTTAACAGAGGTAAGCTGCCAGCTCTTCCCAGTGCTCACCTGCCTGTGTCTTCCCTGCTGTCTCAGAGCTTGTCTTGAACTGCTTTCTAGAAGTTGGCATATCACTCCCAGGGACTAGCTTTTCAGTGAGCGTATGAGCAATCCCTCTGCCCACCATAAGCCTACCATTAGCCAGCCTGCTGCTGTGAATACCAGTGGCGGGAGGGGACTTTAGCAAGGATCTAAGCAAAGAGAGGGTAATGGTCTTGCCAAGGGTATCAGGAAGAGACAGCAAGAAGGGAGGCACAGAAGCAGCAGTGCTGGAAAGTGCTTATGTGCTGAGGTTGGTAAGGAATACCATTGCTAGAGTGTGGTCCTGTGGCTGGGGATTTTGGCGTAGGGAGCCACTACTGCTTCTGTCAGAACACAGCTTTTATTTCTGTGCTACTTGTTTTTCAAGGGCTTAGTAAACAGAAGCACTGGACGGAGGAGGCTGCATCCTCAGCATGGGTATCTGTATGGCCCTCTTTAGCATGGGATTTGAATTCCTGAACAGATGTTTAGCTAATGGGATTGTAAAGGCTAAACATTTCTACCCCTTTCACTTTTACATGGATTTGTAATCTGTCATCTATACAGGTACGCGTCTCTCAGCTCCTTCCAGCACCAGTGCAATTAGCTGTTGCTTACCTATTCGCAGAAATTGGCAAAGGGAAATCTTGTCAAAGCTTTTAGGCTGGTGTCTTTCCCCCTCTTCAGCTACCTTCCATCATGAATTCTGAGCTTCTACACATCTACACTGTCCTTTTGCAGCTGCAGCAAACACGCCCTCTTGGTTACCACCAAACCCAATAAAGCCGTTTTTCTTGTTACAGGTGGCTCGAGTACCGACAGTACATGTTTCTCTACAAGTGGACCATGGCCTCACTGAGGTCAACTTTCATTAGAACAGTTCCTAAGTAGTCTGACTGACAGCCTAATGTCTGTACAACTGCACATTGTTGGTGTGAGAAGTGAGCAAGAGAAAGACCGCAGATCTTCAGATGTACCATGCACCTGTGGTCAGCTCACCAGTTTCAGCTAGTTCAGCTGTTTCTTCTCATCTTCCAAGCCCAGAGCAGTAGCAAACAGTCACCACCATCTTACCCTCTTTCCAAAAAACACCAGAAATTCTGTCCCAAAATGTTCGTCAGGCCTGACATCCTACAGTGGCCCCGGAGCGTGAAATGAGCTTAACACCAGTATTGTTTGAACCATTACAAATGAGTATGACCTAGCTTCAGGGATGAGAGTCCCCTTCACATGTGATTCGGGGAAATCCACATTACAAAGGAGACAGCTGCCCGCCTGGGAAAGATAATGCAAATAGAACAAAGGATTCCTGAATAAGGTTTTAGTCACCTAAAGTCATCAGCCTAAAGTGTTCTTTCCTCGAGAGTGTAGTTTTAGTCTCTCAGAAATATGCTTGTTCTGCAGTAATTACCTGTCTGGGGAACCAGAAGCTAGAGGACAAATACAAGTTACTTGCATAATAGACCAAAATACTGGTGTTGTGTTTTCCCAAAAATTAAGGCTCTCCCCACGCTTTGCGAGTTGGGTTTACAAGGCTTGTAGTATATGGATAAATAATTCTCAGTGGAGAAGAAAAGGAAAAAAAAAAAAAGTGCTTCTATGCTTTTTCTCAGAACTATCGTTTGATTTAAATGTTTAAAATATAATGCCCGTACCCACATCTAGCTGCAGTTCACCTTTTCTGCCTCAGGAGGGCTCTGACTCTCAGTCTTGTAAGTCTTGTATTTGTAATGCTACCCACGCTTTTCTTTTCAAACACCTCCTGGAGAGTGATTTAAGGAGTCTGGAATTGTGTATATGTGTTTCATTATTACACAAGCTTTCCTTCAGGGTTCAGATTTGGTTAGAAAAATCGGGGGTTATTCCTTGCATGTTAATGTCTTTTTCTTCAGTGACATATTATAAATCAAGACCTTTCCCTTCTTTACTTTTCCCACTAATTTTCAGACGGCAGGCTTTAATCTGAGCCCATGCTATCTTGTTCTTCCTGCTGTCTTTTAGGACTCATTGGAAGACTCGGAGTTTTGTTCAAGTGACATCATTTTCATGGCCTTCAGCAATCATTGTGTTTAATGCAAAAAGATGAACAATGAGTTAGTAGCGCTTTCTAAGTGTCATGTCATCTTGGCTTTTTTTTAAAACTGGATTTATCTGATGCATCATGAAAGAGCTTGATTAAAAATGCTGCATTATTGTTGAAGTACTCCACCAAAATAAAAAAAAAAAAATCTTTACACTGGTTTTTGCCTGAAGAAATCTATGACCAAGTCTGATGAAGAAAACCAAGAGACTTAAATTTTGTTTGGAATGGTTACCCAGAGGAAAAGGTATTACACTGGACATAAATAATCCCTGATTTGTGAAGTTTAGTCTGTTTTACCAAAAACTATTTTCAGTAGCTAAGTTTGGCAGGTGTAAGCTGATCAATATCATCTTGGAAGAAAAAAACTTTCAAACTGTAGCAGTGGTCAAAGTCTCCATTGCATTTGGGGTATTTAGTAAGGGTTCAGTGTAGGTGAACAATCCCTAAAAATATCCGTCTTTGAAAATGCATTTCCAGATCCGAAGTCGGGTGTTTTCAACTGCATTTCCAGAGAGATACTTTATTAACTGAGCAAAAAAGAGAGGGACTTTCACAAATGGTGCTTTACTTGCTCTCTCTCCTAAATCTTTTTACTGGTTTAGGTAAAATTTTAGTGTGTTAAAACACTAGCACATCTCAGTGGATATTCTGGTATGGATGAACCTTTCCACCGTTACAGAGATTAAATGACTGCAGTATGCACCATAGTGTGGGGAGAGCATCCGATTCATCGATAGGCAGCACTATGGTGCCTCCTGCTTCTACAGGAGTGTCTTCCAGTCCACCTGCCCCTGGCCTTCGCTCTGCACCACCTACGGCCAGGACCAGGTGGGAGACGGTGGCAGATGGGCATGCCAGCACTGGGTTAGGCGAGGAGCGCCCAGCCTGCACTTGAGCTCAGAAACAGCCAAAACGTTGCCTCCTCTACAGGCAGTATATACACACCTGTGATCCTTTCTTTTCCTCCAGTTCCCCTATCTGCTTCAGTTTCCATGACTGTCTGTTCTGCCTTTAATAATAACAAGCTTTGCCCTTGACATCCTCTCTACCTGCATGTTTGGCTCCCTCTAAACAGATTGCTCACCCCCCAAAAACTATTGAAAGATCACTAAGGCCAGAGAATCATGGCCGCAGCTGCTTGTGCAACCCTAATCCAATCATCCAAGGAAGCAGTATTAGAAGACCAACTTTAATTACATGATTTTATACTGTGTTATCCACAGGAGATCATGAATTAATCAGCATATCTTGAAACATGGTTGTTAAACTGGTAAGCCACAGTGCTGGAGTAGTCTGTAAAGGCTGCAGCACAAATATTCAAAGGGTGCTGTGAGTGAAATTTCCAAATAACAACTGTCACTGCTGGAAGCTAATGCTTTGCTGTCTGCGCTCTGAAAACAATTAATGAATAATTTTGCTGCTAGTTACCATGTAAAATGTACCTTGCTCTGTGGCTTCCCCCACCTCCACTCTCTGTGCCCCTTTGTTGTATGCAGACTTTGTGGGTGGGATAAGAAGAAATGGGCTTGAATGCCAAAAAGGGCAATTTAGGCAAGGCAAGAAAGCTTCCTAGCTGTAAGGGGCAACAGCAGGCTAAAAGGGATCATCTGGAGAGAGAATGAAATCTCCATCTTGGGATGGCTCTTAGAGCAATTCAGACAGGTACCTAGGTATCATGTAAATAGAGCTGAGCCTGCCTTTGGGCAGGCTTTGTAGTTCTGTTTTCTTTGATGTAGATATGTTAGCCAATCAGATAGTATAAATCAATTTACTGTTATGTAGATCAGGGGAAACTACTGGAGCATCTTCAGTGGTGACTTATTGATACGAAATGTCAGGTCCCTGCCCACATTAATTGGTTTTAATTGCCCTGACCAGCCTCACCTAGGGCCACACCCTGCCCAAGGGGCCAAGAGCCCCCTTTAAGCTCAGCCCTGGGCCTTTAGTCCTTGCTTGAGCTATGCTAGAGGTGTCCTTGTCTCCTGTGTGCCTGTGCCTTGCTGTGGAGCTTGTTAATCCAGGCCCTGACCCGTGGACTGACTTCATGGCCTAATCTTGGACCTGCCTGGTGATCACTGGGTTGTGTCTGACCTTGGTTACCTTCACTGGGCCTAATCCTGACCTGTGGCTTGACTTCCCAGCTTGACCTCAGATCTGCTACGAATGTGTTGCACAGCTTTCATGGATCCTGGCTGCTATCCTTAGGCCTGCCTGCTTTGGTGTTGTGAGGTGGGGCTCTAGCTGGTGAGGCCTCTTCCCTGCTGGCGGCAATATCCTCCTTGTCTCCCCATCCCTTAGGTGATAGTCTCCTGGTGCTGTGCCTTGATGTGCAGTGGAGAACTGTGCTGTGCTTGTGCAGGTATCTGCTCTCTCTCCTTTGAGAGAACTCTGTTGCTCTGGGCTGTGTATTGCAGGGTTTGCAATAAATGATAATACATGCAATTTATGCATTTTCACTAGCTGTTATTGTATGTAGGCTGTAATCTAGATACTACTAGAATAGAGGAGAACTGAATTTCAACATGGCTTCCCTCCCACCCCCATCATGGACTATATTTATTCTTAGATAAGAAAACATATTTATTCCCTGCGTTAGGAGAGGTAGCGCTCCGACACTTATTTGTGAACACCTTACTACTGAAACAGCTGAATCAGTGCTTTGGGTTTTTTTTTTTCTTGTTTGTTTGTTCATTTTTTTTATGTTTACCACGTGCAGCATTATCCACCCTTTCAGCAAAGCAGTTCATTCCAAGGAAAAGCATGTGAAATGGTGCACACAGTAAAAAGTCATAGAAGGATTGTGCAGTGTAGGCATGGGGCTTCCACTCAGGGTTGCATCCCCAAATACTCAAGCTACATGCAGGCTCTTTGGGTGAAAGATCTAAGTGCAGCTGGGATCAGGCCATTTAGTCAAGCAATACGTCTTCATTCCTCCTTGCGGAGAAGCGTGTGTAAGCGCTCAGCAAAAGTCAGGCGGCTGCAATTCCTCCTGCTCAATACATGCACCTAGACTGAATTTTATTGGAGAGGTGGGGAGATGCTTGAAAATTAGAACTTCTTTACAAATTTCAAAAGAGGCCTTATAACAAAGCCTTGTTAAATAACACTACGCTCATACTAGTGTAAATGAGCAGCTCTTCACGCAAAGCTTAACGTGGCTAGTTACACGGCCAGGCTGATTCACTGGGAGTCTGAGGTGGAAGTGAACATTTGAATATTAACTAGGGAAGAAGAAAGTCAGTACGACTCAGCCACCCACTTCCTTTCCCTTCTCCTCCCCTCTGGCAAATACACATCAACGAAGTGAGAAGAGGCATTGGTCTCTCGCAGTAGCAGTAAACGCTTGCTCCTCAGAGGCTGTCACAGCAATGAAGTCCAGTGATACACAGGGGAAGAAAGTAGCCATCGTCGGAGGTGGTCTGGTAGGAAATGCATTTTGTCTCTCGTTTGATTGTGTTTGTCAGGGAGTCAATGAGTGTTGCTTGTCAGGGCTATGAGTGTTGCTTGGATGTTGGCTGGGTGAATGCTTGATTGAGCTGAGCTTAAACACGAAGACTTCTGGAAAGGCAGCTACAGCAATAAAAGTGAGCTTGTCTGTGTGGAGAGTAAATGCAGCAGGGACAGGTCAGTGATAGCTGAGGGAAGATGTGCAGATATTTAAAATGCAACCACCTCCTTTGTCTTGCTTGTTTGTAGCACAGTTTGTTTGCTGATTTGTTTTGCAAATTAAGGAAAAAATATCTCCTCTCCTGAGTTCAAATCTCAATGCTACTCTACCCGCCCCCAACTTTTTTTTCTTAAAACATTCCTCCTTCGGAGGACAGGGTATTATCAAGGAGCGTGGGAGGTAGCAAGACTTTTTTGCGTAGCTAGGATGTCCTGCTAAGAGAATTGCTCTTTGAGGGAAAGCTTTGTTGCTGAGGTAATCTTAGAGACACCACAGATGTCTATGGCAGACACTAGTGTAACTGAAACACATGTTTAAGCCCAGTACAAGAGCTACAACGCTTGCCTAGAATGGTGTATGCAAATAAGTCCTGCTACTCCAAGAGTACTTTTCTCAGGGGAAGGGATTTTGGAGGTGGAACAATAGCGTCTCAGGTACATTAAGTTGCAGCCCTTGCTTGGGCATTGCACATGTACCAGCCCAGAGAATCGTTGCACCTTTAGAGCCCTACTCTTTCTGCCCAGGAGTGCCACGCATTGGGAAAACACAAGTCACGTTCTGCTCTTTCAAAAAGCATTAAACAGGGCTAGCTGTGAGATCTTCTGTCCCCTTGGCTATTTCTGGTTTTAACCAAGTCACTCACTAATGTGAAATGCTTTGCAGGGACTGAGACTTGGTTACCTTTCTCCTAATGTAGGCCTATAAGTACTAGGCTAAGAGAAAACGCTGTCTTCTGTCCACTCTTTGGGCACAGTTTTTTTCTGTTGCTAGCTGCAGAGCGGACTAATTTGAGCATGGAGTATAACAACACCTAAGTCTCTTTTCAGACTTTTTATCTGGCCATTAGCTTCTTGGTCCCTGAAACAGAGTCCTGAAATAAAGAATCCATAGCTCTTTTTCTGGCATGAATTAGTGGTGAAAATTAAAAATACAGTGAGGTGAGATATAGTGAAGACAGTGTCATCCACTTAAAAAGCAAGGCATATATATGCTGTTCTTTTTAAGGTAATATTTTGCTTTTATACGGGTAGGTCAGTCTAGCTTTCTGGAGTCAGTGCACAAGGAAATGCTGCAGCACGCTGGACTCTATCAAGGAAGAGAAATGGAGTCCACAGAGGTAGTAGGGAGCTTGCCTGTACACAGAAAATTGTTCTGTACCCATGAAAATCCCTGGTTCTGCTCTTGTAGGTGGGTGCTTTAAATGCCTGTTTCTTTGCCAGACGAGGTTTCCATGTTGATCTTTATGAAGCCAGAGAAGGTAAGTCCAGCCTATTATTGCTTTATTAATATGTTGGTGTCTCTTTACTTATAGCAGTTCCTGAAAAAAGCAAAAATGGAACTGTGTGAGCACACTGAAACTGGAGAGAGAAAAAAAAACCGGAACTGTTGTTTTTAGGATATTCTTTTAACCCTTCCCTTTAGCTTCTATGTGTGTGTCGGGAAGCAGATGATTCTCTGCTAGAGCCATCATACAGGTAGCACCACTATAAATCAGTAAATGGTGCAGGTTCTGCTTCCACCTCAACTGTAGCTACACCGTGGGACTGACTGATGGTACCCTGCTTCAAACCAGGCACCTGAAAGAAAGAAGAGAGCATATGTCACCTCTGAAAATATCACCTTTGTAGTCAGGCCCCGGGAGGCAGAGTTATTTTTCCCCTGGTCCAGCAGCTGTGGTCCAGCCTTTTGCAGGGAGGATACTCTCATGGAGGCCAATGTCGTTGCAGGGAGGGTACGAGTTGCTCTGGTTCTTCAGTGTCAGAGCTATGATTGTAGTCCAACAAGACTGCACCTTCAGTGGCTGACTTTCCGCTGGAGCTGCTGTGACTGCAGACCTCAGCCTGGCTTGGTGTCACTGTGAAGATTTCAGGAGACGCAGTCTGGCCTGGGCTCTGGCCTGCACAGAAGGTGTTGGCGTGCGTGTAACCCGCTGCCCTTTCTCTTTCTGAGCAGATATCCGGGTGGCCAGTTTTGTGCGTGGCAGAAGCATTAACTTGGCACTCTCTCACAGAGGACGCCAGGCCCTCAAAGCTGTGGGGATGGAAGACCAGGTACCCTCCTCCCTTCCAGTTAAGATGCTGTTAACTTAGGTTGGCAATGGATGTGCGCTCTCTCTTCTGCTCCCTAAGCACTGAGGTGTCTCTGCAGGGATAGCTCCGCTTTCGTGAGGGCTGAGATAAACCTCTCCTGCTGTGTGCCAGCAGCCTTGCTCTCCACTGCCTTGTGGCATGGGGCTGGAACCCTGATCTCCGAGTAGGTGGGGCTCTGCTGAGGCCTGCAGACTTTGACAGAGGGTACTTGCCAGTCATGACACCCCCTCTGAGACCACCAGTCGAACAGCTTCTCCCAGTGTTTCCCTCTCCTCTCTGCTCTTTTCCCTCCTGGAGGGTGAGGGCAAACACAGCAGAAGTCAGTGGAATCCCAAAAGGGCTGGAGTGCCACCAGGAAGTGACAGAGCAGCTGATTTTACCTCCGACATGCCCAGGTTTGTATTTTCTCATAAATCCACAAGCTTTGGGCCTGCCCTTTTCACTGCCTTCATCAATGGACTCTGCACTGGTGCCTGGGCGTGCTGTGGTTTCTCCATGCCTCATTTGGCTCAGAGCCCAGCCTCTTTTCCAGAGTGCTCAGTACCTTTGAAAATCCAGATGTTCACACTGATGTGATCTTTAAGTCTGGCTGCCTGGGTCTGTGTAGAGAAGGAACACAGGTTTTGACAGCTCATATCCCAGCACCAAGATGTAATTTGGCTCTGACTCCCCCTGCTCCTGTACCCTGGGGCTTTTCCTTTCAGTCCAAAAATCACTTACCCCTGATTTTTATGAGAATGAGCTTGTAAATTATCCCAGTAAAATGCAGTGATTTTGTGTCCATGACCCTGTAAACTTTTCCTTCTCAACTGTGCTAGCGACACAAAAACATATGAGCACAGAGCATCCCATCTTGCTGGTTCTGGCTCTATTTGTCACACCGGATACAGTGTTTGGGCGGATGGTGTTAGTGGTTTGTGTCCTGGCCTTTAGCAGCTCAATTGCCGGAAGACTGAAGCCTGTTCCCTTTCAATTTTAGATTGTGTCCAAAGGCGTTCCTATGCGGGCAAGGAGGATACACACACCTACAGGGAAAAAGTATTCTATCCCCTATGGGAAGAAGGACCAGGTAATGGTGTCCTACTGTCTTTCCTGAGGTGCTTCTAAGAGCAGGGGACCTTTGAACTTGTTTACAATTCTGTGTAACGGACAGCAGTTGCCGACAGAACAGGGATTAAAGTGCATCCAGAAAGACTGAGGTAACAGCATTCTGGAAAGAAATTCGGTTACCCCCCATCTCAGGATTTGCTGCTTCCCTATCCTGAGAAATATATTCATTTTATTCATCATCAGATCTGCAGTTCTTTGGCTGATGTGGCTACTCTTGCATCCAAATAATGCTATAACAATTTTTTTTCTTTTTGCAAACAAAGCGCACAGATTTTGATTCCCATAACTCTCCAAAAAGCTTGCCTCAAGCGTGCAATCATTGCAATACAGTTGGGACAGCCTTGTTTCAATTACCTTCCTCTGCTCTCCCCTCTTTTCATGGTAAGCAGATCACTGCTGGAAAATGTATCCAACCTAGTGGACACATTCTTAGAAAGATGCTGTGAGAGGGGAGAGGATTGAGGGACGTGTCTCAGTTTTAGTGGGGCTGTTACTGGGATTCTTTGAGGTGGTTGTGCTTCTCATATGTTAGTGCAAAACAGTGTTCAGAAATACTTCCTGAACTCATCATTTATTTGTTTTTGCAGTACATTCTCTCTGTGGACAGAGCAAATCTAAATGGAGAGCTGCTAACAGGTAAGTTTCCAGGTCTTTTTGTGAATACTTGCACTGCCTTTTCTCTGAGAACTTAGTGTTTGTCCTAAGAATGAGAAGTAGAAGTTTGCTTTAAGAACCCATTTTAAACACTATTGATCCAAGAATCAAACGCCTGACAGTCTCTCAGCGTACACAGAAGTGAAAACAGCAGATATGAAATGAAATACAAGCAAGGAGCTGTCTTTTGAGGTTAGAGAGGTAAAGATTCGGTGAGGTTACTTCTTCTGTTAATTATCTGCTCTGCATAGGAGTGAGGTGAATAGGAACAATAAGCCATCTTCTGAGTGTATAAGGTGCTAGTGAACAGTTCACTGAGTTTGGACTCGCCTGAAGAATTCAGTAAGAAAAACATTATTCCTTTCACCTTTGTGGTTAGCCAAAACACAGAGACTGGGAGGTTTTAAAAATGTACGTAAGAAACTGCTGTCTTTGATGCAGTCCTCTGTTTGCAAAAATGTACAAAGTCCTGTTTCCTTGAACACGTGCTTTCCTCAGAGCTGTGCTAACCAAAGCTTCTGCAGCCACATCTGGTGCTTCTTTGCTATCATCTCTTTCTCCTGTGCTGGTTTTCTGCTCTTTTCCTATACAAAAATGTATTAAAACAACTCCCTGTGAGGCCTTCCTGCACACACACAGATTCCTGAGCAGCTTTCCTGGTGTTTGCCTCTTGACTGAAGGGTCCTGTTCTTTCAGTTCCCTGAACTGAAAGCAGGAGTTTACTTATTCAGAACTATTTGAGCTAAAGAAGGAAAGATATCTCTTCAGCTTCTCTACGTTATGTGGCGTTTTCTGCAACGTGTGATAGTATTACCTGAGTAGAAATTGCAGCATGTGGCAAAATGTGAAATCCATGCGGTCCAGGCCAAATTTTCGCAAATTTCCCGTTGACTGCAGATGCTACATTCAGTCCTAAAGTACAATGATAGTGATGACAGCTAAATATATTGCACTTTATAAACAATTTTGACCAGATTTAAAAAAAAATATAGGTCTAGCGCATGCTGCCCATCCCTCCACCACTCAACAAAGGAATCTTATTTGCTCTAATAGCCCTTGTAATTTAGGGATCCTATGGAAATATTTTAGGTCAGTACAACTCTCTGTTTTTTTGTCTTTTCTTTTCGCAGCTGCAGAGAAGTACTCCAATACTAAACTGTACTTTGGACACAAACTCCTGGAGTGCAACGCAGAGTTAGGGGCATTAACCATAAAAAGGTAATCCCTGTGCGGGCCTGGGATAAAGTACTATTTTCACTTACTTTTTGCTTAATAATTTGTAAAAGCTCAAACAATTGAGCAATGTCAGTTTAACACTAGTGTTATTCCCAAGCGGATAAAACTTGGCGTTTGCTTTGGAAGGCAGAGACGTCAAAGCAGAGTTCACAGGGAGGTTGAAAATGCTTAAGCAACTCCCTAACCTCTCGGTGGGCCAACAGTAAGCTAGATACACATATTTGCTGACCTGTGCAGGGAATAAAAGTGCCTGTCTTTGCAACATTGGTTTTCAGGCTCTGGCAGGGACAGATCACTCTTTAGGGAGAGCAGGTGATGACCTTGTTGCATAGTTGCATTAAATTCTGATTATGCTCCCGTCTCAGCCAAACAAAACCAGCCTGCTTGGTCTCCAAGGTGTGCATCCTCTTAGGAAACTGCAATGGCCATTTTTTGAAACTATCAAATTGTTCTGACCAGTGCTGGGACGTTGTATTAAACCCAGCAGAGCTCAGGAACTCCACATTTTGTCGTTAGTGCAGACTTGTGTGTGACGTTCTTTGGAAAGGTTAGTTTCTTCATTTGAAGTCTTGGGATCAACTGTGAAGGATCCTCAGGGTCCTGGGAGGCTACCTGTGAATACAGGCTCTGTGAAATCACAACATTATACCAACAGCATTAGTTACGTGTTTGGATATATATGGCAGAGTTTTTGACAGCCTACAGAATAATTATTTTTTGTAAACTTATCGTAGTGAAAACCAGTCGCCCCATACCCTAAAGGCCTGAAAATGCTGCAGGTCATCCAATCATTTTTGCAGCAAAATTACAAAAAAGCGAGCCCACTGTGCTCAGTGATTCTGGACTGGTACACTGACTTGACCTAGTGTTTATGGTAGGATTATTCCAATGGACTCTTGCTTCTCAGTTCTGATCAGCCGCCCATGGAAGTCACTTATGATCTCATTGTGGGATGCGATGGAGCCTTCTCAACCGTCAGAAAGCAGTTCATGAGGCAAACGCGCTTTAACTACAGTCATGAGTACATTCCTCATGGCTATATGGAGCTGACCATCCCCCCCAAGGATGGAGACGTAAGTATGTCTGTCCCAGGGGTTGCTACATCATTCTTAGGTGTGACACTTCAGTCTTGTCTCATGATGGCTCTGCTACAGCAGCTCTAGAGAGACTCATTTCTCATGTGAGGCTCAGCCCCAGCCTCCCAAGAGGTTAAAGCTATCCAATGAGAAAGCAGGCATCCTCTCTCTCCCAGTTGCGGGTGAGAGGGGTGGGGCCAATGTTTTGGACCAGTCTGCAGAATTCCCTGATACTAAAGGGCCTGCCCCAGGCTGGTGAGGGTTAACTCTAGCTCTGAGAGCTCAGGGGAATGTGGGAATATGTCTGTGGGGACATCAGTGATGACAAAACCAGCCTGTTTTCCCTACTTTTTCCTTCTGTCATATCTCACAGAAGCATCAGATACTTTCCTGCTGGGGAGGGGCCTTGTGATCATTGCATCCTCTTGTGGTGTAAGAGGATGGGAACTGGTGTGCTGATACAGAAGAAAACCAGTAGATGGTCTGGGGAAGCTGAGCAGAGCTGGTCAGCTGGTCAGCTTTTTTTCTTTCAGTTTGCCATGGAACCAAACTGCCTCCATATCTGGCCGAGAAACACCTTCATGATGATTGCACTACCTAACATGGTAATAGCTCATGGCTGCGCTTGCTTGGGGCATGGGATGGGGCTTGTGGAGATGAACTGGCTGCAGTGGCAAATACAGCACGTGCTGGGGTCCAGGAGGGATCATGTCTGCTTGGAGAATTCCCAGATTGGAATTCTAGCCCTTGCTAGGCATCCGACAGCCTGTGGATGGGTGCAGTGCAGTGCCCCAAGAGCTGGCCCTGCCCCACTGAGCTGAACCTGCTACCTGGGCAGCTTCTGTCCTCCTTTACCCCTTCACCCTCACCCGCAAGATCCCACCAGAACACCAGTGCTCTACAGCTGAATGATACAATTGTCAGAGCAATATGCCAAGCCCACTCTCTAGCAAGTCATATACTGCTCTTTTCTGTTTTCTCCCCTCCTTTTTTTCATGCCTTCATCTTGGTGCTCTCTGGCACGTATAAACACATCATAGAAAATGGGGCTGCTGCATATTCATTCCCCGCTGTGTAAGCTGGTCACTGTGATTCCTGGATGACAGACAGACTGGGCACTGTACTCTTGATCCAGACATCAGGTGTTGCCTGTGGCCTCTTGATTCTTTCTAAATCTCCTCTCTGACTGGCAGGACAAGTCCTTCACGTGCACGCTCTTCATGCCCTTCGAAGAATTTGAGAAACTCACAACTGGCGAGCAAGTACTGGATTTTTTCCAGACCTACTTTCCAGATTCAATTCCCCTCATTGGAGAGTAAGCGTTCTCATCTCTCTTTCTTGCTAATCAACACAACACCATAAAAGGCAAGGGACATGTCCATACCTCAGCCTTGGGGTGCTGATCACAGTGGGACTGTGTGGAAGCTGGCTGACCGGGGGGTTGCAAACACTCTCTTGAGCTTCCTAATGAAGCTCCATGGCCTGTAGGTCTAAAAGGGGGGGACAGTAAATGGACTGTCTGTATTGTTTCTTCATTGGGATAATGAGCTTGGCAACAGGACATAGTCCCGTCCCACTGTAGGTTCTGATAAGTTGTGATTGTTACAGCAAAGAGCAGAGCCCAGAGGTTTCAGTTCCCTTAGAGTTAGCCTGGACCCTCTGCACAGCAGTGCGCTTTACCTTGGAGGCACAGCCCAGGCCCTAACACCCTAGTGGGGTGACACTAGTAATGCTGCCTTTAGGATGATGAAGTGATATGGCAGGGACTGTGATATGGCCCTGTCCTGTGAGCGTGCGGATGATAAGTGAACGGTGCCTTGCACAAAAGCTAACAAGCCAGGCCTTCTGCTGCACTTGTGGTTCCTCTGTTCCTCAGGCAGTGCAAAGTGGCTGGTTAGCAGCTAGCAGACTGCTGCTGCCTCCAGGAACAACATTTTTAGACTTGTAACTCTTAACCTGGCACTGGAGAGGAGCAGGAAGAGCATGTCCCATGCTTTTAAAGTGCTGTGAGCTGGGCTGATGTATCCGAATATAGTGGCAATCAGTGACCCAAAGCTAGAAGAGAAGTGTCCTGGGATACGTATCCTCTCCCAGTGTCTGTGGCCCTCTGTTTACACTGTGGAGCTTTAAGAGGAGGCAGGCTATCCCCAGTGAAGCTTGGGAACTTAGGGGTGCTGAGAGATATTCGCTATGAAGTTTCAAAAACTTAACCGACAAAGCAGTTTTTAAACTTATGTAACGCTATATGGATTAGTTGCTCATCAGCTGTGTTTTTCTGATGATGGAGTTGGGTGGGCAGTGACTCCACTGAAGCTGCGTGTTGAAAACAGCAGCACGAAAAGCAGTCCTGCTGTTCCAACAGTTGGGCAAGCATGTTGAGATTTTAACAGGCTGAGAAAAGCTGGGCTGGCAGGTAGCACGCTTGGCAAAGAAAACCACTGGGCTGACTAAACAAGGTCTGGTGCTTATCGATTGTAGGGCTAAAATAAATATTGGGCTTATGAGGTATAAGAGCAAGTGGTTCCCAGCGGTGTGCCACTCCCCGTGCTGTGGGGGCCCTGGTTGGCTCTCCCTGCTGGGCAAACAGCACAAGGGCAGCAGCATGGAGCCGGTGCTCTGCCCTTGGGTGCAGTGTGTCCTGCTCCTCCTGAGTTTCCTGACAGCAGTGAGGACGGGGACCAGTGTTTCCAGCCTGAGTCCAGATGGCGGTTTCGCGGTTCGGTGTGACCTTGTTCCCCTCCAAAGAAGGAAGTTCCACAGCCTCTGGAGCTCCACCTGGTGTTATTAAAACTTCTGCTCTAGCATAGCTGTAATGGGTTTTCTTCCACTGATATTAAGCTGTATTAAATAGCTTCCTTTTCTTTTAAGTAGTCTGTATTATGAGCCTTTCATATGAATTTAGGAACTTGCATGTCCTCTGGATATATCCTTCCTGCAGCGAGGACATCCGCAGGTGTTCACAGTACTGATGTCAATGTTCACAGTGACTGATGTCAATGAAAGTCTTGCTTGTGGGCAAGTTGTATGCAGAGCTTAACCAATAGACAAAATATTTGGTCCATTTGAAGTCCAGCATTCATGTGCATGCACACGCACACTGTGTGAGCAGCTGGCAGAGTGTTTAAAGAGCTGCTGAAGCCCTGTTCTCAGAGAACCTTTAAGCACATGCTTGATCCTCATTAGGCCCAGTTACTTGAATGAACGTGGCATTTTGCTGGAGATGGTTGTGCTTGCACAGCCCTATCCCTCAGTGTAATCCTGAGGTGGGAGTGAAGAGTACGCAGTGTTAGTAGGATCCTGAGCAAGACTGGTCTGAATGTATTGTGAGGTGTCTGTGGGAAAAAGACTATCTGCTTTTAGGAAATCGCATCACACCACATACCTGTTGCATCCTTGCTTAACTCATAGCACGAAGTTAATGAAATAGGTGTTCTGGCTTCCACATTTTCTTCCAGCACAAATATCCCAATGAACAGGGGTTATTTTTTGCATCCCAAGGCTGACTGAATGCCAGTGACCCTGGCTTTCTGAGCTTGGACGTGGCATGATTTGCTCTCATTGTCTCTTGTGGTACCACCATCAAGTGAAGTATCTGTTGTTTTGCCTGAAGGCGAGAGCTGAAGCGTGATTACTTTTTGCTGCCAGCCCAGGCCATGATATCTGTGAAGTGTTCTTCCTACCACATCGCTTCCCGGTGTGTGTTGATGGGAGATGCTGCGCATGCTGTTGTGCCGTTCTACGGGCAAGGCATGAATGCGGTAAGTTCACGCTCTTGTCTGGGCTGGGTCTGCCGGATCTTCCCTCTTTTCATCCAGAAATGCCTGTTTTTAGAGTGTAAGTACATAGCGTTTGAGGGCTGGCTTGTCCCATGGTCTGGAGTCCTGTGGGTTCGGCGAGCGTTGAATTCTACCCAAATATCTGTCAGTTAGCTCAGCTACCCAGCTGTGCACTCTGGGGATCAGAGGACAGGGTGGTGCTGCCTGTTCATGAGGCAGGGACCTGCTTGGGAGGAGGATCCATCAGGGGAGCCCCAAGCTGCAGAAAAGGCAAACCCCTACCGTTTTTCTGCAAGATCCTTGGCGATGTGGCCTGCAGGAAGAATCCTGCTCTAAAATACAGTGGTCAGTGTGATCTTACACTTGTAAACAGGTTGTGCTTGCTAAGCATCCATGAGCGCATTCCTCATGAAC